TTCTTAATTTTTATAATTAACTTTTATATTCTTTGTTTTTGTTTTATTTCTTGAAATGTTCTTTAATTCAAAATTAAATTTAGTGTTTAAATATTCAACTTGTGTAACAATACACTCACAATTTTAAACGAATTTTCACCTTTTAAATAAGAAAGAGCTTATTTAAGTTGAGCTTTGTGTGCAATACTGTGAAAATAAAATGATTAAAAATATTGATGGAAGGGTCGCAAAAATAATATACAGGTGTTTCTGTAAAGATAATTTGAATATATCATCTTTCTATAAACCCCAAAATGTAGAAGAAAAAGTTTAAGACGATTTGTTGCGTCCTTGAAGAACTAATTTTAATCGCAAACTCCTGTTATACAGAAACATTCGGAAAACAAAGTTGAAGTTGATAAATTTCTCTTCAAATAATGATAGTATTTTGGTAAATGTATCGGCTTAATTAAATGAATAAAACAACATTACATTTATAATGTAGTCTACTATTTGTTCCTTTATATTTATGTCCTTCATGCATGATGAAGAATTTAAATAGAGTTTGTTTAAAGGAATGCTTATTGTTTGGAACATATCCCTGCCCTTTTTAGTCTTCTTCTTTCCCTCTCTATTCCATTTTTATGTCCCCTTCCTGTCATCCTGTCCGCTGAATAATAATTTCCTGTTCATTTACTGTCTTTTTCTTCCCTTCCTTTCATTGATCACTGAATACTAATTTCCTGCCCTTTAACTGTCTTTTCCCTACTTCCTGCTATTCTATACTAATTTCCTGTCCATTAACTATCTTTTTCTCTCCTTCCTGGCACCCTAACCGCTGAATACTAATTTTTCTGCCAATCAACTGTCTTTTTCTTCCCTTCCTTCCATCCTGTTACTAATTTCCTGTCCATTAACTGTCTTATTGTCACCTTCCTGTTATCCTCACTGCTGAACACTAATTTCCTGCCTCTGGACTATCCTTTTTTCCCCTTCTTGTCATCCTGACCACTAAATACTAATTTTCTGCAACATTAACTGTATTTTTTACCCTTCCTGTCATCCTGGCCGCTGAATAATAAAGTCCTGCCCATTAACTGTCTTTTTCACCCCTTCCTGTCATCCTGACCACTGAATACTAATTTCCTGCCCATTACCTGTTTTTTTTCTCTCCTTCCTGTCATCTTATACTAATTTCCTGTCCATTAACTGTCTTTTTCTCCTCTTCCTGTTTCCTCACTGCTGAATACTAATTTCCTCCCAATCAACTGTCTTAATCTCCAGTTCCTGTCGTCCTGACCGCTGAACACTAACTGGCTGCCCTTCAAGTGTTTTCCACTTTTTCCTCCTTCACTGCAAAGATCCCCTTTTCTAGACAGTAGATATGTCCCATCTAAAGGGGTCAATATGAAGGTAAATCCCCCCGGTTTTTGCCCCGTGCTCCCCCTGTTATGGTCCCTTAAATAATTCTAAAACGTGTAAACTTTTAACCCTGGTTTTCCTTTCCTAATTTGCTGATTTTTGTTAATATTGTGCATAAAAATGTATGATATCTGTGTTCATGCAAAAAAAATACACACACATAATTCTTGGAATGCAGAATATCCAATATCCACACTCTTTATTCGTGACGAGACGAAAGAAAATAATTTCATAGTTCCCTGCAAGAAATATTTAGAAAAGAATTAAAAACTAAAATGGAGCCGAGAATGGGATGCATATATTCTTGAATAGGTTAATACCAATCTACTAAACCTGTAAGTATAAGTAGTTTCAAATACCTGTCAAACTATGAATTATTGATCAGATAACTGCAGAAACTTATCTTATTAAACGTTCACCTATTCAACACAAGTCAATCATAAAATATTTTTAAAAAATCTATCTTGTGTCACTGGCACTTCATTAAAAAAGTTAACACATGGAGACAAGATCTTTAAATGCTCTTTAGGGGGTTTTTCATCCTGATCGTGGGTTTGGACGCAGGGTGGGATATTTTAAAATTTAATAAAACACATCTTTTAGATTTAGATTGTGTTATCCTGGGATTTAAAAAAAAATAATTTTACCATTCTAGTCTGATTGATTAATTTTAAACTATTATGTTAAATCAGGATAAATAAAGGTTTATTTTGGTAGATTTGCCATTGTAGTGAGAAGAAATCCAGAGCAATTTGATTAGCGCTCAAAATTATAAAAATAAAAAGGTGTAAAGATGATCTTTTTATATTATGGGTAACAATTTATTTGATAAAGTTATTATCAATTTGTATTGAGGGTATAACAGGTCAGCATAATAATATTTGTGCAAACATAATAACTGTTTATCAATGTAAAAGCGACTGTCTTTGTAATTTCAAGTGACCCTCCATATACAACAGTACACTTTAGCACTTTATCTAATCAAGAATGTAAAAATAATCGTAACTATCCCGGCTTGAAAATTCAGATAAGTTCCTTCATTGTTTTTTAGCTTAAAGGAATTGAGTCTTTGCCACAAACTCTGATTTGGAACCAAATGTTGCATACCTTAGATATTTCAAACTTTGAATTCTGTTAGATCAAGAAATCTGAGTTTGAAATATCTAAGGTTTACAAAATCGAGTTATAAAGATATTGTGGTTGAAATATTTGATTTTGTTCCAAAGACTCAACTCCTTAGCAAGTCACTTGTAGAGAAACCTCAATCGAAAACAATCAATTTCCAAAGAGAAAAAAATCGATAACTTTTACAGTCTTGATCGGACAAAGGTTTAAAAGGTACCTTGGTGAATTCTGTCAATCTATAAATGAAGGATCACTTAAAGTTACGTCTACAATTAACAAAGACATATTCTAAAGAATCTATGTAAGAAAGTCAGAGGAAAAAATAAACCTGAAAAAAAACTTTGGTCAAAAAAATCCCAATATTTTGAAGTCCTAGGACAAAATGTCACTGGAAATAAAGTCCTGAGTTTTAGACTTTTTTCTTAAATAATATGGGGGCTGCCAATAAAGTCTCAGGAAATAAGATCACAGGAATTAAAGTCCTTAAAAAAAATCCGAAAAAAAAAGAAAAAAGTCCTTGACCTTGAGAAAATGAGGTCAAGTCTGAGACGTGTACATTGAAAGGACTTTTCTCCTATTCATCTGAATACTCAATATAGCAAGGGTTGTTTTTAATATCAAGTTCCTTTTCCCCATGGTTGTAAACATCCTTTGTTTCTATGCATTTTCAACCATAAGAGGACTTTTTTCCGGAGACTTTTTTTGTATAAAATAATACTGGAACCAGAAAAAAGGCCCTAGAAAATTAAGTCTCAGAAAGGTAGGACTTTATTTCCACAAACTTTTATTTCAAGGACTTTTCCACAGGACTTTTTTAATGCCAACATTAATGACTTTATTTCCGAAAACTTTTTTTCAAAGAACTGTTCATTACAAATACAAATAATTTAAACAGAAATGACAAATGGCTCTAAATCTTAAGCTAGATATTTTTTAGTCTAGAATTAGATATATGTTGATAGTTGAATTTACAAATAGTTAATTTTTACATCAATTGCTGAGAGGGTCTATTTATATACAGGGCGTTCCATCTAATATTAGACTATCCCGAAGCTTTAATACCCAAATACGCATATAATACTTGAAAAACCTAGTATTTTCTGCATGCAAATCTTATTATTAGCAATTTACAATTTTTTAACATGATTTTTTTTTTTTTTAATTTTTATATTAGTCCCGGAAATCGCATTGTAAAGCTATAACACGATCCAATATGATGTGGGACACCCTGTATAGTGTATATTGATAGTTGGCAAGATTTTGCTAGATATATGTTCATATATATATTAATATCTAGCTCTACGTAGAAACAATAAAACTTTAAAATCAATCAAAATTTGTGGAAAAAATTGAAAAATAATCTTTATAGACTGATGGAAAAAGATTAACAACGCGTTAAAGTTATATCAAGTATGTATTTAAAGGTGAGGTGTCGTGGGTTTTTTAAAGTTAGTAACTTTCAAAATTTCGGCTCATTCTTGGAGGTTTAAAATACTATCGCTAATGAATTATCTGAATTATCTATAAAATAAAGCTCATCACTCATGCATATTTGTTAGCTATAGTTGGGTCAGTTTTTTTCCAAAATCGTTTTTTTTCCAAAATTCGAAATCGATTTTTTTCATGGTGTTTTCAAAGTTCAGCGGGAAACGTCGGAAACTTCGGCAAGGGTGTATACAGGTGGGGAAAGGGGGGCGTAGCCCCCCTTTCCCTAGGACTCAGAGCTTTTACACTTTTCAAATCTTAAAATGAAGAGTGAAGAACAAAAAAGAATTAGTTTTCTGTTCGTTCAGTGCACTAGGTATACGTGAACCAGAAGTCCGAATAAAAAATCAATCAAGAACTCACATTCATCCTAACCGGTTGAGCGCTATCAGGGATAGCGGAGTAAAACAATTATTTTCAAATGCCCAGCCACAAAGGCTTGAGTTTGGATGTAGTAAAAGACCAATTTTTTATTTGGATTTAATTTACTTTATTCATTGCACCGCCGTTTTGTAATCTTTCTTTTTATTACAAGCTAGCTGAAGTGGAACTTTAAAAATCGAATTAAAAAAAAAAAAAAAAATAATATATTTAGCATTATGTCATCCCCAAGGGTACCCATGAGTTTCCTCATTAAAATTCAGCCCAATTCATTCGGTCGTTTGGGCTTTGGCCAGCCATAGCAAACATATAGATAAATAAAGAGCTTTATTATGTAGATTGCAATCGTACTTCTACTTTTTTTCAAAACAGAAACTTTTACAAGTCATAATTATTTTCTGAACCTTTGTCTTTTTTTCATCTCATAGAATTTAAGTTTAAACTCAGTTTTTTTATTTTTCAAATGTCTTTTACTATCTCTAGTTTAAATACTAATAATTACAAACATAACAGTATAATAAAATGTCGATTTTTTAGAAACAAGTGTTTCTGCTAGCTTTGTTTGAAGGAGAGATAAAGTAGTACTTGCGAGGTAATTGGACTGTATGTGTACTTTTAAAGTATCTTATACTTATGCCTGATATCCAAGAAGCCAAATGTTTTTAATTTACAGTTCAAATTTTGCCTGCTCCCCACCCCAGGAGCTCCCCCCCAAGATTTATTTCTGTATACGCCCTTGCACTTCAGCTAGTTCTTATCGAAATGAGATCACTATAGATCTAGTACCAATAAAATAGGAATATCTCCAAACCCCCCTTACAATTACCACGACTCCTTACTTTTAACCCAAAATTTGAGAATATCTACGATAGAGAAGGAGATACAAACAGCAGCAATAGAACAGGGTAGAGAGGTATATGCAGGGGTACAGGGATACAGGAGGAAGAGTAGAAAGGGGACCAAGGAGCTAGAGCTGAAACCGGTTCTGAAAAATAAACAATTGCACATCATAAATGTGTAAGAGGACAATAGAACTAGTGTATTTTATCGATACAATGCATTTTTTTGTTAAACCTCATATCAGAAATTATTCAAGAAATGTTTTGTAAAATTTTAACCTGGTATAGTTATAAATTTGTGAACTTCTGACCATTCGCTCACTCCAAAATCGTTAATTGTCTGCACCTAAACAGTACGATATCTATTAAAACCTGCAATTTTATAATTTTATAAAGAATTCTTTTCCATAAAAAATACTAATTAGTTTTACAGTCATATTTTTATTTTAACTTTTTACACTGCTAGACTATTAGGTCGCTATGTGCCCATCTTCTATTTTAAATTTTAATTAATGCTCACTCTCTAAGCATTTCTCTTCGATAAAACAATTTTAAAGATTCGTGGATTTGCTACTTTTTCCTCGTGAATTTGCTACTTTTTCCTCGTGAATTTTCAAACTTTTACGAAAACAAAAATTTCTTTGAAGACAAATATTTGAAACTCTGGGCGTTCATAAAACTTCCTTGGGGTTCTTTGAGGTCCAACAAAACATTTTGGCTTGATCGGTTTGACCAATTTTACAAACAAAGAAAGCAACAGGCAAGCAAAGTAAATATATAGATATTGCATGCACCCGGATTTTTACAATGAGGAACACAGTTAAGGTGATAATAAAGGAAAGTATATAAAATACATTGCTGAAAACCTAGTTATTATAACTTTACCTAAAGAATCTAAAGTTCAAGCTTTAAAGGACGTCTTTAATTGATACGGAAAGCTTTCAATTTCATAAGAATGATTTTAATCTTTATTTTTAGATAACTCAACAATCATGATAGATAAATTGTTAAATAAAGTTATAATGCGGCTGTCATCGTACAGTTTTTTTGTCCCTTTTCAGCTGAACCATGTTACAGCTATATGTAGACATTTGCTATTATATAAATAGTACTAGCACCTTGAACCCAGCATTGCCCGATTTACTCATAGTTACTCCCACCGTATACCTGCGCTTGGTCTTTAATTACGATTTGATCTATCAACTTAGAATGTCAAAACCAAGGAATGAACATTTCCGCGTGGTTTTCCCGAGTTCCCCAATCAAAATTTGAGGCGAATGGGTAAAGGGGTTTCTGAGTTATGATCGGACATTTAAACAAACAAACAAACAGAAATTTCCACTTTATAATATGATCTAGCTTGGGATCGAACCCAGCGTTGCTGAACAGGTTACCGGGAAACTAGATTTTTGTCAATCCACTCAACTTCGACACTCAAAACCAAGCTAAGGACATTTCCGTGGGTGTCCGTATTTCCCCAATCAAAAGTTGAGACAAATCGGTCTAGGGATTCATGAGTTATGATCGGACATACAAACAAACAAACAGACAATATCCTACTTGGAGTATATAGTTGGATTCTGGTCTTAAATCTCTCAGCACTGCTTCCATTTCTTTCTAAACATAAAGTGTAAAAAATCGTGAACAGTTCAACCATTTAAATGAGCTGTAATATTTCAACTAATCTTTCAGATAAAATATGCAAGTACTAATAACCGTAAATCTGGTGTGACAGAATTCCCTTTAAGATGCATGCAAAAAGGTCCAAAAAATTGTTATCAAAAAAGTGCCAAATGGGTTTACCTCTTAGTTTAATTCTTTAACTCTAAAAAGGATTGGGATCTCAATATGTGTATAATTGGGAGGGAAGCTGACCGCTGTTAAAATACATCTTATAAACGGGCTGGAGACGAATTATCTTACCTTGATATTAAACTCTATCCTCTCGCCAGTCCTTCCATCCATCCTGAGCATTATACACCTATCCGTCCCATCCTTATCATCCTCACTGCACTCCAATCTATCCTCACCTAGATATGTAATATTATACAGGGTGTCCCAGGTCAAGGTCTAACCAGTTTGAATAGATTTTTTACCTGGTCTAACTAGTTTGAATAGATTTTTTTTCTGGTCTAACTAGTTTGTATAGATTGTTTACCTGGTCTATCCAGTTCGTAATGTTTGTTTACCTGGTGTATTCAGTTCGTATAGTTTGTTTACCTGGTCTAACCAGTTTGTATAATTTGTTTACCCGGTTTAACTAGATTGTGTAGTTTGTTCACCTGATCTAACCAGTTCGTATATAGTTTGTTTACCTGATCTAACCAGTTCGTATAGTTTGTCTACCTTGTCTAACCAGTTTTAACTAGATTGTGTAGTTTGTTTACCTGGTCTAAACAGTTGTATAGTTTGTTTACCTGGTTTATCCAGTTTTTATAGTTAGTTTACCCAAGTTGAGAATTTAAAATCTTAACCCGAGTAAACGTCGTTCCTAGCGCCCACTTAGAGCCAAGTAAAGCTTAAGTCAAGACTCGGGTTTTGGATGGTCTTGGCCTTCAGTTCGTCTTTTTGTTTACCTAGTTTAAGCAGTTCGTATAGTTTGTTTACCTGGTCTAACCAGGTTGTATAGTTTGTTTACCTGGTCCAACCAGTTCGTATATATTTTTTACCTGGTCTATCCAGTTCGTAGTGTTTGTTTACCTGGTCTAACCAGTTTTTTAGATTGTTTACCTGGTCTATCCAGTTCGTAGTGTTTGTTTACCTGGTGTATCCAGTTCGTAATGTTTGTTTACCTGGTCTAACCAGTTTGTAGTATATATTGTGTCCTCGAATTGGAAAGGCAGATTCAATCATCCATCTAAACAGACCATTTATCAAATTCTAAACTTTATGATAAGAAATCTTTACAATAAATAACTTTCATTCGAACCATCTACCAAACCTTTTTCGTACAATCTACTGATACACTTATATGTATATTGAGTATATAGTCCTGAAATAAAGAAACTAAGTATGGAGTCCTGAAACTAAGTTTTGAGTCCTGAAACTAAATACGGAGTCCTGAACTTAAGTATGGAGTCATAAAGCTAGTTTTTGAGTCCCACTACTATTTATGGAGTCCTGAAACTAAATATGGCGTTCTGAAACTAAGTATGGAGTCTTGAAACTAAATAAGGAGTCCTGAAACTAAGAATGGAGTCCTGATACTAAGTATGAAGTTCTGAAACTAAGTATGGAGTCCTAAAACTAATTATGGAGTTCTGAAACTAAGTATGAACTCATAAAGCTAAATTTTGAATCTTAAAACTAAGTATTGAGTTTTGAAACTAAGTATGGAGTCATGATACTAACTATGAAGTCTTGAAACTGAATATGGAGTAAAAGTTATTCCTTTCCTAACCTGAGTTTATAACTTCTTCTATTCTCCAGGTGTCCCGGAAGTAATAGAGGTCGAAGAGGTTTTCCTGGATAATTTTATATTCATAAATCTAATAATTTTCACAAAGAATATATTCTTGTTTTAGAACTATGATTATAAAACAATAATAAAGAATACCTAACCTGAGACTGTTATAGTTTGCTCTGACCAGCCCAATCTGTTAGCTGCATGACAAGTATAGTTCCCTGTATTAGGTAACAGTTTAAAGGACAATCAAATCAAATTTCAAGAATTTTTTTTAATTTCAGCCATTTCATTGGGAATGATATTTCCTTGAAAAAGAAAGCTTTTACAACTTAGAATTTGTTAACGTTTATTTACTATTATTTACTATTATAATAAAAACTTTTCTCTTTAATTCAATTGTTTTTTCTTAGAAAAACTGGAAATGAATTAATTTTTTGAGGATTTTATTCCTTGTTCAATAAGTCGTGAAAGTAAAAAACCGATTTTTGAAAAAGTTGGAAAGATATTTGTTCTGGAGACTATTTTGAAATGTATGAATTTTTTAAGTTAAAACAGTTTGACATATTATAAACTGTTATTTTCCTAGATCTTCTTCTGTTACTTGGAATAGAGACAGCGTATGGAGACCTGTATATGTGTTTGTCGACATCTTATACTTTCCCTGCAAACATTCAACATTCATTAATCATTGTAAAATGAATATATCAAAAATCAATTTGATAAAAGAAGTAAAAAAATATAAATGAAGGAATAAATGATAGGCTTCCTCCTTCATGTCTTTATTTCTTGTTTAACAAATGAGAGGTTTGATTTATAGTACACATAAACTAAAGGGACCTTATAGTACACATAATCTAAAGGGACTTAAAGTACACATAAACTAAAGGGACTTTATAGTACACATAAACTAAAGAGACTTTATAGTACACATAAACTAAAGGGACTTTATAGTACACATAAACTAAAGGGACTTAAAGGTGTCAAAGTGTGCCATTAACGATTCATTAGCACTCTTCATACAAAATGATGTTTTGAGTAATACGTGTTATATTTACCTGATCATGCCCACTCAGCACACGCTTCCCTCGCCTCCAGTTTACATCAGGGGATGGTTCACCTTTCACGTGACATGTCATCTAAATATCATCATGTGCATGTCATCTAAATATTATCATGTGACATGTCATCAAAATATCAACATGTGACATGTCATCTAAATATTATCATGTGACATGTCATCTAAATATCATCATGTGACATGTCATCTAAATATCATCATGTGACATGTCATCTGAATATCATCATGCGACATGTCATCAAAATATCATCATGTGACATGTCATCTATATATTATCATGTGACATGTCATCAAAATATCATCATGTGACATGTCATCTAAATATTATCATGTGACATGTCATCTAAATATCATCATGTGACATGTCATACATCAAAATATCATCATGTGACATGTCATCTAAATATCATCACGTTGACATGTAATCTAAATATAATTACGTGACATGTCAGTTAAATATATTCACGTGACAATAGATAACATTAAGTGACATGTCACTTAACAAATATTACATGAGTGAGTGACAGAGCAGTTAAGTGTTAAGTGAAACAACCCATTTGTGAAAAAATATCACAACTTGTTAATATAAATACTGGCAGAATGTCAATTACTTTATTTCGTGCAGAAAATTATTGTGTAGGATTAAATGTTGTCAGTCCTTGTTAATATTTGATAGTTAAGTGATACATTGACAATTAGATGTATGTTTAGGGTAAACTCTCAGTCAACTGTTCAGCTTTTACAAGTTTTTTAGATTTATTTACAAAACAGTGTTTTTAGCACTATATTTTTAAAATTCAAAATTCAAAAAGTCTCGTTTCTGTTTTTGAATCAACAAAAACCCTGATACCCCCCCCCCCCCCTACTATAATCTCTAGACTCTGTTATTTCTCTGAAATCTACGGTATATCTCTGTGTTCCAGTAAAACCAATTTCTATCGTGTCATGTTAAAGGATTTACAGTGTGTAGGATTTCTAACCTCTCCTCAACATAATTTTGAACTTTAGGTCGAAACATTTGTATTGGACAGCAATTAGCTTCAGGTTTAACCACCAAGGAGTAAAAGATTTGTCTCAGCTTTACAGTTTAAGATAAAAAGTCTTGCCATCTCTCCTTCAGATCAAAATCTTCCTCAATACCTTGAAATATCCTGGGTGATAATTACAATGTTACCTCTAGCTTCTCTTGTCGGATCTTTGGGTAGTATTGTTGTGTCTCCAGATCTATTTCGGGAGGAACTAAAAAATCAAACAATTCTCAAGTTTTTCTTTCTTAAATATATTATTAGAATAATAATCTCTTACAGTTAACGGTGAGCTTGACGGTTTCTAAAGCAGGTTTTCCATCCATCCTTTCTACTCCGTTCTCTGCAATACATTGATAATCTCCACTAGCCTCTATACCAACCCTCTGTAAATACAGCCTGTTCCCCTCTACCTCACCCTGGATAAACACAGTTGAAAAAATATTAGAAATAAGTTAAATGAAAAATGTTTGATTTACTTACATAACTCAATGATAATGGTGCTCCATCCTTTCTTCTCCATCGGATATGAGGCTAAAAAATAACAAGTTTTTAGAGAAATTATTTAATGGACTATAAATAAATCCTATTTAATGGACTATATATAAATCCTATTTAATGGACTATATATAAATCCTATTAAATAGACTATATATAAATCCTATTTAATGGACTATATATAAATCCTATTTAATGGGCTATAAATAAATCCTATTTAATGGACTATATATAAATCCTATTTAATGGACTATATATAAAATCCTATTTAATGGACTATAAATAAATCCTATTTAATGGACTATATATAAATCCTATTTAATGGACTATAAATAAATCCTATTAAATGGACTATAAATAAATCCTATTCAATGGACTATATATAAATCCTATTTAATAGACTATAAATAAATCCTATTTAATAGACTATGAATAAATCCTATTTAATGAATAAAGAATTTACCTGTGGGTTACCGTGACCAGAACATTCAAGTTCGGCATTTTCAAATACTGATACAGATATTTCAGGGTTCCGTGCAACAACTCTGGGTGGTACTAAACATCACGATAGATAGATATTTTACGATTCATTCAAGGGAAGGTTTGCGAAAAATGAAAGGGGGTATAGGCTTAACGTCGAAAAGTATTCGATGGTGATCGCTACTAATCTTACTTCTGTCTATAAGCAGAAAATTCAGAAAGTTGCAATATTCAACTTAGTTCGATTATCGATTTTTTTCGACGCATTTTTATATAGTTCATATTTCATAATATTTTTTTTTGTTTGATGCAATTTAAACTACGATTAGTTCGCCACCAGGTGTCTCTGCTTTCGATGTTTCTGTGGTGGGAGAAATACCAAGCTGGCATAAAATCTTCGTTTTAAGTGCATTGTATAGAAAACAAATACAAAATATTATGAAATATCAACTATAAACGAATGCGTCGAAAAAAAATCGATAATTAATGGTTGTATTATCTGAATGATTTGTTTGGAATTTAACGTATTTTGTTACGGTCTAAGTCGAATAATGCAATTTTCTGAATTTGTATGGACTATAAGTTCTTCGGTATGAATCGTTTTTAACAATTTTCTCCTTATAGATGCAACAGATAAGAAGTAAGATTAGTAGCGATCACCATCGAATATTTTTCGTCGTAAGTCTATACCCCTTTTGATTTTTCGCGAACACTCCCTTTAAGGGACGTCAGTGACTCCATAATTAATGCCTGCTTTACAAAGGTACCCTTTAAACCTTTATTAGCAACAATAAGACTTTTTTAATGTATTTAATCTTTCAATTATTTTTCTCTACTGCATAAATCTGCAAGTCACTTTTACAGAAACCCCAGTTCTTTAAAGTTGTAATTTTTGTAGAAAAATATTTAAAATGAACATGGTATGCAACAGGTTTAATGGAGGGTCACTTATCATTTCAGTGTTATTGATTACTCTAATATAGAGTTTAGATAGATATTTCAGTGTTATTGATTACTCTAATATACAGTTTAGATAGATATTTCAGTGTTATTGATTACTCTAATATAGAATTTACCCTAATATAGAGTTTAGATAGATATTTCAGTGTTATTGATTACTCTAATTGCATGAACTAGATAGATATTTCAGTGTTATTGATTACTCTAATTGCATGAACGTAAAGTTTAGATAGATATTTCAGTGTTATTGATTACTCTAATTGCATGAACATAGATTTTAGATAGATATTTTAGCGTTATTGATTACTCTAATTGCATGAACATATAGTTTAGATAGATATTTCACTGTTATTGATTACTCTAATTGCTGGTGAATGAATAAAACTTGAATTGTTAGAACTTACTTAGAACATCTAGAGTATGTTTGAGCACCATTGGTTCCTTGATATTGTTTACTTGACAAGAGAATTGACCCGTATCACGGGGTTGAACGTCCCTAAAAAAGGTTGACATCAGACGATATCTTTGCAAATTATTTTGATAAAGCACAACAATGAGCGCACAGAAATCATCTTACATGTTTGTTTCAATCAAATCGAAAATATGGAAAGAATATTTCAAAAATATATTATTTATAAAAACAAAAATGTAAAATACCGTAAAGTAATTTCGCTCCCATTATGATTATGGATTAATCTCTCCTCGTTGTACACCTTCACTGGACCTATGGACATATAAATGTAAGACAATAGACCTATAGACATAAGACAATAGACGTATCGATATTAGACAATAGACCTATAGACATAAGACAATAGAAGTATGGACATAAGACAAAAGACGTATTGACATTAGACAATAGACGTATAGACATTAGACAATAGACGTATAGTCATTGTACAATAGACCTTTAGACATAAGACAATAGACGCATAGACATTATACAATAGACGTGTAGACATTAGACAATAGACCTATAGATGTAAGACAATAGACGTATAGACAGTAGACAAAAGACCTATAGATATAAGACAAAAGACGTATAAACATTAGACAATAGCCCTTTATACATAGAACAATAGACGTATAGACTTAAGACATTAGACATATAGACATTAGACATATAGACATTAGACAAAAGACGTATAGACTTCGACAATAGACCTTTAGACATAAGACAATAGACATATAAACATGATACAATAGACGTATAGACATTAGACAATAGACGTATAGACATTAGACAATAGACGCATAGACATTAGACAATAGACGTATAGACATTAGACACTAAACGTATAGACATTAGACAATAGACGTATAGACATTAGACAATAGACGTATAGACATTAGACAATAAACGTATAGACATTAGACAATAGACGTATAAACATTAGACAATAGACTTATGGACATTGCACCCCCCACCCCTCACATGAATCAATTCTGTTTAAGTCCCTGATAGTATAAGTGTACATATAAAATATTGAGAATGTTACCAGCAGTAAGAAGACGATCTCCGGTTGACCAAGTAATCACATCTTTTCCTGAATTAGTAACCGTCAAAGAATCTGGGAAGTTTTATCGATAAAACAAAAAGATACTCAACAATTGAACAAAAAATCTAAAGGAAACAAAAAAGGCAAATCATAAAAAAATGAATTCAACTTTACCTAAATTTGCTACTGCACAAGGAAATGTTACTTCTCCTCCTATTCGAACCTTAAACACCTGAAAAAGTGTGTTTCTGTGTTTTGATGGATTTTGTCCTTGCGGTATGCAGTTTTTACGATTACTTATTTAGTGTTGCATAATAATTTTAGAAAGCAACTTATTACAATCTACAACCCTAGTAATTGGTTTTAAATTTAAAAAAAAACAAAAACATTTTAATCAAGGAAGGACCTGAAACCTCCTTGATTTTTTTTGGATATTATAGAAATAGACCAGACAATTAAAGTTTACATTACCTGCGTATGTGACGTAAAAATTGCTCTTCTTGTCTTGATACTGTTTATGGGTTCGTCAGGCCAGTAGGATAAACTACAGTCAAAACCTAGACAATAGTATAGAGTAGGATAAACTACAGTCAAAACCTAGACAATAGTATAGAGTAGGTTAAACTACAGTCAAATTCTTGACAATACCAGTATAGAGTAGGATAAACTACAGTTAAACCCTAGACAATAGTATAGAGTAGGATAAACTACAGTTAAACCCTAGACAATAGTATAGAGTAGGATAAACTACAGTTAAACCCTATACAATAGTATAGAGTAGGATAAACTACAGTTAAACCCTATACAATAGTATAGAGTAGGATAAACTACAGTTAAACCCTAGACAATAGTATAGAGTAGGATAAACTACAGTTAAACCCTATACAATAGCATAGAGTAGGATAAACTACAGTTAAACCCTAGACAATAGTATAGAGTAGGATAAACTACAGTTAAACCCTATACAATAGCATAGAGTAGGATAAACTACAGTTAAACCCTAGACAATAGTATAGAGTAGGATAAACTACAGTTAAACCCTAGACAATAGTATAGAGTAGGATAAACTTTAGTAGACAACATTTTTGTCAACTTTTCTCTCCTTTAAAATGATAAATTAAACTTTTTTAACAGAGATTATTTTATACACTTAATTATCTGTATAATCATATAAATCTCGTACAACCTCTCAGCATAAACCACAGCACTTTAACTTGTCCTTTATATATATTTTCCATGTATTTGTTTGTTTAGTGAATAGATTAGTAAATCGATCAATCTGTCCAGAGGTATTCTTTTTGTCCGTTTCTCCGTTGGAGTAGCTTGATAATTTCACCGGGCTTTGTAAATTATCAATCATTGTAATTGCAACCACTTTCTAACCTAATTTCAACATGGCCATTTAATCAACGCTGCAAAATTTGGAATTCCTTAATTTTGCTCTTTTTAAAGTTTATTATTACCAAAGAATGAGATAAGTGTAAGCTGTCTCCAAAATACAATGTTTTTCATCTTGCTGTTTTTTATCCAATTATAAAACAAGTTCTGCAACAACCCGTTTCAACAGTTCGTACCTTCTCATCTTAAATGTATTCTGAAAAAAAATCACAATTGGTTCGGAGCACTATTGCTTTAGCTTAATGATGAGTTTTATATATTTATAACCATAATAACTACTAATAGACTTCACATTAAAAAATTGTATTATAATTATGAACAAACAAGAATAGGTGAAGGTTATTTAAGTTCTTAGTATATAATTTTATTCTACAACATATTCAATTTGTCTGGGTAAAGATATTTCGTTTGAATGATTTAATTTTAATGTTTAAGTTTGTTCTTGTTCTTCTCCCTGCACTGTTTGAATTTATTTCATATATTTGCTGGATCATAAACCTTACTAGAATTCTAAACTATTCCGGTAGTCAGATTCTAGATTCTTAAATATAGATATATTTCAAAATTATTAATATTTCAAATATATAAAACATTCTGAAGGAGAAATCTATCTAAAACAAGAACGATTTGATTTGAGTGAAGAAAAGTGCTAATTAAGATAATGATAATGATACTGTTTTAAGGTTCTTGGCACCACGTTTAGACTAGCATTTATTTCTGTAATTAATCATATTTATAAATTTATATTTTCTGTTTGTTTGATTTTAAAAACTGATTGGGTTCATGAGTTTATATCAGGCCGAGCTGGCTTGGTTTCCATGAAAAAAACTTATTTGAATTATTTAATCAAGTTATATAAAATCTATATCAATGCTTTCTGAGAAAAAAAATATATAGACCATAAGCGTATTTTAAAAAAGTACAATATTACCCGAAAAAAAAATTTAAAATATTAAGAAGAAAACCAAATATGTATCGTGAAAAAAAGTTAAATTTAAAAGAAAGACAAAAAAGTCTTAAAAAGTTAAAATATATTTAGAAACTGATGTGTGTTAAATAATGAAAGTTATGAAAGATAGAATGATATTAAAGATACAAAAGATGGTCGTTTCAGTGTAATTTGTTTTGAATGAATTGTATATTTGTAATTATCTCTGTTATTGCTAGTATAGAGAATATATTTATTAGTGTAATTTAATTCAGAATTGTTACATGGACAGGTCTTATATACATAGGATATTCATTTATTCATCCATAAATATATTTCAGCAATTCATCCATCTGTACCTTCCTACCATTTAATGCATTAAAATATGCCTTCTTCTATTTACGCATGAATATATTAATCAATTCATTTCATTAATGTAAATTACACATAAAATTGAAATCTTAAATGTTTTGAATCAAAGCTTCTGATATTGAAGAGCTATTGAGAAAAAGAATGTTTTAAATTTCTAAAAGTAACCTGCACTGAATTTGTTTTTTAAGACTTGTGTATAAAATCAAAACTATGGAGCTACAAGATCACAAAGTCGTAGCAGTCATGTAGCTTAAACTTTACCTTCTCTTGATTCATCCTTCCTTTCATTCTTAAACTTTACCTTCCCGTGATTCTTCCTTCCTTTCATTCTTAAACTTTACCTTCCCGTGATTCATCCTTCCTTTCATTCTTAAACAGATTTATTCTTATTTATTTGTTTTTTATACATAGATTTATCTATTTTCTCATTTATTCATTTCACAAAGAAATATTCATTGATTTTGAAAAATATATATGTTCTATTTCATAATTCATTGACATATTATTTTTTTTCATTCATTAGAGATATTAGTTGTTTTATTTATTAAACTTAGATTATTTGATCCAACAGAATTCATAGTTTGAAAAATCTAAGGTCTACGTTGCCTTGCAAAGATGTATGGATTATAAAATTAGAGTTTGTGGCAAAAACTCAATTCGTATAGTTACATAATAAAAATATTTTTGTTCTTCTGAATATCTCTTTATAAAAAGAAGTTGTGTAAGATGTAAGATTTGAATCTAACGTGATATTTATTTTGATTTTACATGACTAACATAGAAAAAATGGTCCTCGTAGATGAATAGTCGAGTTAATAGTATCAAACACTTTATTTAATGACTGGGCTATATCAATTTTGTAGGCATCATACTAATTTTTTTTTAGAAATATCTAATTAAATTTTTTTTGAATTAATTGTCTTTAAATTAAAATCTGCACAGATGAAAGGACCCAAATTGAGAACCTAGTTTCCAAAACAAGGTTTCCTTCACCGATACTCTCTTAAGTTCCAACTCTGAAGTCTAATCCCATTGGTATAATTAACACTGTAAACTTAATTGTTTTTACTTTTCAGGGTGGAAGAGAGGGGAGGGGTGGGGTGAGGGTCAAGGGTATCGAGGGGGTATTCTGTTAACATGAAAGAAAGAAAATTGTAAAGAAGTTTGACTGTCCATGGGACAGTCAAAGCAAATTATATATATGTATGTTTTCACTATGGTTTGATTGTCTGTTGGATTTCGCTTGAAACCATGTTTTAAAGAAAAAGTTTCAGTTTAAACCTTAGTTTATTATTTGCTTTATATTAAAATGACCGACCGAAAATTGTAAAACTGCAATGGCTAGCTTTGTAAATGTAAAATTTACAAACTGTAGCAAATATAAGGTTTGTCTTAACTATGACTCCTTTCATGAGACATTTCGAATTGTTCAAAATACAATTAAAGAATTATTCTGGACATCCTTTTAAAAATTGGCGTGCTAGATACACATCAGTAAAACTTATCTCACAGTAAACATTATATGATGCATTGAATAGGGAGGGTTGATAACGAAATTTGATACTAAATGCAGGTTTAGTCGCAAAAGACTCAAGCATCTGATGGCCATTAAAATAATATTCAAGTCAGAATTTACCAATTTTAACCAGAGAGTGATTTTATCAAAGAATTTCCCAATGTCATTTTACGGTTAAAATACTTCAAAATCTAGTACTTGTCAAAATTTAAAGGTTTTCTATCATAAGCAGAAATTAATGAAATTTGAAGAGGATCCAGGATTCGTTTGTTATTAGGGATACTTTCAGGGTAAATCTTGAAACTTATTAAATTTTACAGTAAACAACATCAAAATGATTATCTTTAGAACAAATTTTGATTTTAAAAATTGTAATTTGTTGTATAATGCAATTTTAATGAACCATCCCATCTGAGTCCTTCTTGATTTCGAACCTGACCCTCCTGACAAACTCTTCCATTGAACTTCCTGACCAACTCTTTCATTGAAACCTTGATTTCGAACCCGACCCTCCCGACCAACTCTTTCATTGAAACCTTGATTTCGAACCCGACCTTCCTGACCAACTCTTCCATTGAAACCTTAATTTATAACCCGACCCTCCTGACCAACTCTTTCATTGAAACCTTGATTTCGAACCCGACCTTCCTGACCAACTCTTCCATTGAAACCTTGATTTAAATGTCAAAGAAACTGGTTTATACTTACCACAAACCTGAATTGTCTTAACAAATTATTTATATTTCAAACTTTGACGCTTTGATCTAGCAGAAATAATTAAATCAAATCAAATATTAATATTTGTCTCAAGCGCGCATACATATAAATACAAATAAAATATTTTTTAACACATATTAATGAAACTTGAAATGTTTTGAAATATCAAAGGTCTACGACATCGCAAAGATATGCAGAATATAAATTTATATTTTGTGGGGAGAAATTAAATAGTTAGTCCGTTTATTAATTGTGAATACTTTGTACACCACAGAGAGACGAGTATATCTTCTGACTAAACTCATATTGGTTTACAACTTTCCGTCATTCAACACCATCTAGAGAACATACCGGCCTCTACACCGATTATACCGGCCTCGTCTAACCTCGAGACCGTGGTTCCAACGGTGATCCACGTTGAGAGTTTCCGTTAAACTTTTGCCGCCAATACCGGAAATGAATATGGCGCCAAAAATACCTGTTTATTAGGAGGTGTATGCCAAATATCTGATGTAAATGTTGATCCTGGTATTAAAGTATATATTCCACACATAATACCTTTAACAAAACAATTACTATGCAAAGAATTTACATTTTGGCACAAATGTTTCTTACGTGGCTTTAAAAACAAATTTAACTTTAAAAATGGTGTTAATGCTACATGTTTTTAATGAGGCAGGGGGGAGGGGAGCGTCCCCACAACAACAAAAAGGGGTGACATTGCGTAAATGTTTTAGGGAACCCATAGATTCCATGCCCGGTGACAAAAAAACAATAAATAAATTATGATTTAACGGTAACAATGACTATAGATAATTATATAAACCGGGGTAACACTAGGCACTCCAGCTATAGTGCATGAGTTGATTAGATGCTTATATGATTTTGAATTACTAATGTCCTATCGACCCAAATAAAAAAAACATAAAAATATCTGTGAGAGCTTTTCCTTTATAATGAAATGTACATGGGTGAACAAAGGCCTTGTGATACTTGAAAGTCTATCCATTCTTAAAATGAATGCCACTTTTTATAACAGTCTGGATCTATGTGAAATAGGTTTTTAATAATGCACTTTCAAATCCTGCCCAGAACTGTCACGAGTCTATTTCATTTTTAAACACAGCTTTTTAACTTTGGAGCATATAGACAAAATAGAGATTTGACATTCTTACATAAAATTAAACAAGGTTCCTCTTGTCTACAATTGCGTTACCAATGGAAAATGCAAAGCAGCAAAATGGTAACAGTAAGTCGCACTAATTTTGTTGTTTGGTCCTTCTCCTAGCTATAGATAGCGCTTTTCACCTTATTTTAACCAGATGAAAATAAATTTTTCATTGTTTCTCTTATTGTACTTTTTTCGGTTAAAAGAAAAATGGAAAGTAAGATCAAAGATCGTTGAAAAAAACGTGATTGAATAAAATTATAGAAACCCTGGTTAGTCCAAACCAAATTGATTATGTAAGTTTAAATTAAAAATCAGAAATCAGAATTTTAATTCTTTATTAAAGTTTAACAACATTTCGCTCTCTGTGCAAGCTTAAGACTAGGGTGAATGCACATATATAAAGAACTTTAATAAAATAATTTTCACAGAAAAACGAAACACTGTTCACATGATTTCCACTTTTTCCTGAAAACATTGTAAAGTGTATA